GTGCGGTGCAGGGAATTCCAGGTATCCGAATTCATGACTACGGCATTGTGGGGATGGGCGTAGAGTGGCCCCACAATGTACTTGGTGACCTCATACCACCTCTGCCCGTACCCTGGCCCGCTGCCGGTGACGCCCGCGTCGAGGATGCCCCGCTCCAGTGAGGGGTACACGTCGGCGAAGGTCACGAATTGAGCCTCAGCGCCGAGGCCATTGATCAAGTCGGCCAAGGGAACGCTGTGAGCGCGGGTCTTGAGTCCCTCGAAGTCGCTAAGTGTTTCGAGGGGCCTCTTGCTGTAGAAGAACTGGTCGGGGTAGTAGTCGTAAAAGATGACCTCGCCACCAAAGCGGTCCCTGATGATCCTGACCTCGTCGTCCCGGACCGCTGCGAAAATCTTGTTCTGAGTAGGCGTATCCGGGAATAGTCCGTAGAGTTCCGCTATTTCAATGAAGGGCCAGGTCCCGCCAACAAAGTTGCCAGGTAGTTCGGTGAACTCCACGGTGCCGTCCTCAAGAAGGTCCAGCATATCGGTCCCGCTGATTCCCAGTTCGGGCAACGACGTGATGTCGAGCTTCAGTTGGCCGTTGCTGCGTTCCTCGACCCGTGCGACGTACTCAGTGAACAAATCACAGGTCTGCAGGCTTCGGTTGATGCAGACGAACTGCATTGTGAAAACCTGGTCAGAGGCTCCGGTTGCTTGATCGGTTGTCTCCGTGGCCTGTTCGGTGGGTACACTTGGTTGTTCGGTGGGCTCGATGGCCTGTTGGGTGGGCTCGATGGCCTCCTCGGTGGGTTCACTGGCCTGTTGGGTGGGTTCGCTTGGCTGTTCTGCGGTTGCCTGAGGTTGCGATGTAGCTGTGGGAGATGAGCCGCAGGCAACCAAAAGCAACATCAGGATCGCAGGTACGATGGCGAGGTACAAAGTCCGCATAGAAAGTCTCCTAGCGTTGATTACGAAACACAATCCACCTATCGCCGCTGGCTCCCCTCCAAGTAACGGACAGTAATTCTCACATCAGGTTCCGGTCAGGGAAATCGCGCCGGTTGAAAGAGGCGCGGGGACAACCTACCGCTCCGACACAGCCGTGACGAGGTTGGGCAATCAATTTCCAGCCTGACGACATATTCCAGATATAGATGACTTATAGCACATAATATACCCATTGTCTCTTCTACAGTATATGTTTATATTCGTACACATTGCTGATGCAGAAAACGATTTCGGACCGCTGATTCATTTCGTGATACGTCGCGATAACAGTAAGGGTGGCGAATGGGCGACAGGGTTCAGATCGCACGCGGCGAGCAATTACATCGGGTGTGAAACAGTTCGAGGATCCGCAATTGCTGTCGGGGCGCGGGCAGTAGCGGCTTACGGTTCCTCAGTGAGCAAGACTGCGAGGGCGAAGTTCCGCAACGGGACCCCGCAGCTTTGTTCTGTCTGCGACTTCACCTGACCTAAAACCAACGGCGTCGGGGCTGCTCCAGATACGTTTTCCGTGCTGCGGCGGAATGCAATCGTGTATACTTGGGCTTGCCTGCAATCGCAGCGGGGAGGGTGTCTCAATGGCCGTAAATACGAGCCGTACCCTTGGCAGTATCGTTGACCTTGACGGGGGGCAGATCAGCCGCGAAATCTTCGTCAACGGGGACATCTACGCGCAGGAGCAGGAGCAGGTCTTTTCCAAGGCCTGGTTGTTCGTGGGGCACGAGACACAGATACCCAAGCCCGGCGATTACTTCGTTTCCAGCATGGGGGAAGAGTCGGTCATTCTGTGCCGCGACCGGGAGGGCGAGATTCACGTCTTCCTGAATTCCTGCACCCACCGGGGCATGAAGGTCTGCCGGTATGACGAGGGCAACACCCCAGTGTTCAGTTGCCCCTACCACGGCTGGAGCTTTGCGACCGACGGCAAGCTCGTGGTGTTCCGTACTTCAAAGACGCCTACAAGGGCGGGCTGGACAAGTCGCAGTGGGGCCTGATCGAAGTGCCGCAGATGTACAACTACAAGGGCGGCATCTGGGCGTCGTGGGACAAGGACGGCCCCTCGTTCCAAGAATACGTGGGCGACTTCACACGTACCTAGACCTGCTGATGGACGGCCGGGACGGCAGCGAGGGCGGGTTCGGAGATACTGGGAGGCGTCCAGAAATGGACCATGCCGAACAACTGGAAATTCGCCGCCGAGAACTTCGCTGGCGACGGCTACCACAACATCAGCCACCGCTCGGTGGACATGGTGGGCATCGGCCCCAGCGGGCTGGGACGACGCGACAACGCCGAGTACAAGGAGGGCCGCCGCATCAACGTGTCATTCCCTCGCGAGGGTCACGCGGCGGTGGTGGAACTGTTCCCACCCGAGACGCCGCAGGTCGCCACCTACCAGAACAGAGAAGACGTCGGCGAATACTTCCGAATGATGGAGTCTGAGCGACGTCGTCGGCTGGATGGAAAGACAAACCTTCTGGGCGTCGTGGGAACCCTGTTTCCCAACATGTCCTACCTGGCCCGCCAGCCCCGATCAATCGCCGTGTGGCACCCGCGGGGGCCGAACCTGACGGAGGCCTGGCGCTGGTTCCTGGTGGACAAGGACACGCCGGAGGAAGTGAAGGACGTGCTGCGGCACTACTACATCCGCTACTCCGGGCCGGGCGGAATGACCGAGCAGGACGACATGGAGAACTGGAACTACGCCCACAAGGCCAGCCGGGGAGCCATCGCGCGGCGCAAGCCCTACAATTACCAGATGGGTATCGGTCACCTGGCCAACGACGTGGAGTTGCCCGGCGTTCTGACCGAGGGCATCTGCGAGGAAAACGCCCGCGGTTTCTACTCGGGATGGGTCAAGATGATGGATGCGCCCTCCAACGGGCACTAGCGGACCAATGGGATTGACACGGTCCAATTATCAGCAAGTCGCATGACAAACGACAGGGTTTGTCTCTAATATCAGGCCAAGAGGAACCAAATCCAACAATTCCTAATCCCAACAAATTTAGGAGAGGAATCATGGCCAGTGTTACCCAATTGGGATACATCGGTATCAGCGCAAGCAACCTCGAGGAATGGGAGCATTTCGGCACCGAGGTCCTGGGGCTGCAGTCGAACGGCGTTGACTCCAACGGCGTCCTGACGATGCGGATGGACGAGTACACACACCGCTTCATCGTCAGCCCGACGGGGAAGGACGACGTTGACTTCGTGGGCTTCCAGGTCACTGATCAGGCGGGGCTGGCCGCGATGGCGGAGCAGCTTCGGGAGGCTGGCATCGAGGTGTCGATCGGCACTCCAGAAGAGGCAAAGGAACGGAGGGTCGAGGGGCTGATCAAGTTCGAAGACCCCGACGGGACACCGACCGAGGTCTACTACGGCCCGCCGGTCAGCTTCGACAACCCGTTCAACTCGCCCCGCCCCGTCAGCGGCTTCGTCACCGGTGAGCAGGGCCTGGGCCATGTGGTCTACCACGTCGAAGATCTGGACCGGGCGGTGGCGTTCTACCGGGACGTGCTGGGGATGAGGATCAGCGACTACATTCGCAACCTGGTTTTCTTCCACTGCAACCCGCGGCACCACACCCTGGCGATCATCGAAGCCAAGGGGCGGAACACCAAGAAGCTCAACCACTTCATGGTGCAGACGCAGGGAATGAACGATGTGGGTCAGACCTACGACATGGTGCTGGACTCCGACATCAACGTGACCCGCGGACTGGGGTCGTCATACCAACGACCATATGACCTCCTTCTACATGAAAACTCCGTCGGGCTTCGACGTGGAGTACGGCTGGGGCGCGCGGACTGTGGACGACGCGACTTGGCAGGTGGTACGCCACGAAAAGGGCAGCATCTGGGGCCACCGGCCTGTGCCGCAGCCTGCGGCGACCAGCTAGGGGCAGACAGGGCAGTTTCCAAATGGCTGACCTGCCACCGTTGCCGGACCCAGGGTTTCAAAGCCCAGATGACCGCCGCACGATTGGACGGCGGTTTATCCTTCAGGCTCGCGACTACCTGGAAAAGGGCGACCGCCTGCAGGCCGGAGAGAAGGCCTGGGGGGCGATCGCCCATAACCTGAAGGCGATAGGCGAAGAGCGGGGTTGGAAACACGGTAGTCATCAGCAAATCGAGAACATAGGCCGGCAAATCGTCGTCGAGTTCGAAAACCCCGAACTCGGAAACGCAATTGCAGAAGCCTTCCAAAACGGTCACAGGAACTTCTATGAAAACCACCGCACCATTGAGGAGATGAGAATTACGATTGAGGCGGCGGAGGAAGCCTTGCCACTGCTGGAGGCTCTTCAGCGAGCCAGTCCTCATTCGTTCACGATCACTTCCAACACCCAGGTCAGGCGGTTGAGAGCGCTTACGGATAACGAGGAATTACAGATCGGTGAAACGTCCCCGGTGGGGTTCTCACTGAAACACTCGTCTGATGGCTACGACAGCACTTCGGAGACTTAGATGGACGTTGGATACATTGGCACTGGGACAATGGGCAATCCGATGGCGCGCTGCCTGCTGGACGCGGGGCACAACGTCATGGTCTATGACGTGCGCCGGGAGGCAACCACCAACCTGTGCGAGCTTGGCGCTCACTGGGCCGACAGTCCTCGGGCAGTGGCAGAGGCGGCGCCGGTGGTATTCACTTCGCTGCCTGGGCCAACGGAGGCGGAGCGCGTGGTGCTGGATCCGGACACCGGCATCCTGGCCGGGCTGCCGCGGGGAGGAGCCTGGATCGACACGACCACCAACGCGCCGTCGCTGATACGTCGGCTGGCCGAGGAGTGCCAACGGCGTGGCATCGAAATGCTGGATTCACCGGTGAGCGGCCGGCCACCCGCGATGACCATGATGGTCGGGGGAGACCCGGCGGTCTTTTGAGAAGCACCGTCCGGTGCTGGAGTGCATGGGCCGGGATGTCTTCTACGTCGGGGAGACGGCCTCGGGTTGCATCGCCAAGCTGGTCACGCAATACCTTGGGTACTGTGCCTTTATTGCGGGCGTCGAGGGCATGTTGATCGGCGCAAAGGCGGGGATCGACCTGGAAATCCTGGCTAAGATTATTCCGGTCAGCGCGGGATCCAGCGGTGTGTTGAACCGGTCGACCGAGGCCATCCTTGACCGGAGCTTCTATTCGAACGGCACGCTGGACATCGTGGCCAAGGACATACACCTGGCGTGTGAACTGGCCCGGGAGTCGCAGGCTCCTGCGTCCATCGGGGCCATAGCCGACGATATGTTCCAGAGAGCCCAGGCGCAGGGGATGGGGAAAGACGGATACCCCGCTGTGGCACGGATCCTGGAACAGCTTGCAGGGGCGGAATTAAAGCCAAACGGCTAATCGCTGGACTTAACCGCAGACCTGACAGGGGGAGAAGACGATGCAGAACGGACACACGAACGGCACCGGTTCGCTGGCCGGGCTGGTGGACATGGCCGCCGGAACGGTGAGCCGCGAGATATTCGTCAACGAGGAAATCTACGCCCAGGAGCAGGACTCCTGTTTGCCAGGGCCTGGCTCTTTGTTGGCCACGTGTCCCAGATTCCCAAGCCCGGCGACTTCTTTGTCTCCTGCATGGGCGAGGAATCGGTCATCCTCTGCCGCGACCGGGAGGGCGGGGTCCACGTCTTCCTCAACTCCTGCACCCACCGGGGTATGAAGGTCTGCCGCTACGACGAGGGCAACACGCCCGTCTTCAGTTGCCCCTACCACGGCTGGAGCTTCGCCACCGACGGCAAGCTGGTGGGCGTGCCATACTTCAAGGACGCCTACAAGGGTGAACTGGACAAGTCTGAGTGGGGCCTGATCGAGGTCCGCAGCTCTGCATCTACAAGGGCACTGTGTGGGCCACCTGGGACAAGGACGCCCCCTCATTCGAGGAGTACCTGGGCGGGTACAAGACTTACCTGGACTTCCTGCTGGACACTTGGGACGGAGCCGGCGGCGAGACCGAGGTCTTCGGCGGCATCGAAAAGTGGGTGATCCCGTGCAACTGGAAGTTCCCCTCGGAGAACTTCATCGGGGACCGCTATCACAACATCAGCCATCGTTCAGTGGACCTGGTGGGCGCAGGGCCCAGCGGGAGCGGACGGCGCGACACACAGGAGCGGGTCGGGGCTACGGCGCTGGACTTCTCGTTCCCTGAGCGCGGACACGGAACCATCAGCTTCCTGCGGCCCGACGACTCGCCCATCGCCGGGTACCAGCACTCCCAGATAGTCTCCGACTACTTCGCACATTGCGAGAACGAGCGCCGCAAGAACTACGGCCAGTGGGCGCGATTCATACCCGGGCCCGGCACCGTATTCCCGAACTTCTCGTACCTGCCACGCCAGCCTCGCACCATCGCCGCCTGGCACCCGCGCACCCCGGAGAGCCACGAGGCCTGGCGCTGGTTCCTGGTGGACAAGAATGCGCCCGCAGAGGTCAAGGAATTCCTGCGCAAGTACTACATCAGCTACTCCGGCCCTGCCGGACTGACCGAGCAGGATGACATGGAGAACTGGAACTATGCGCACAACGCCAGCCGGGGGGTGATCGCTCGGCGGCATCCGTACAACTACCAGATGGGAATGGGGCACGAGGCTCCTCCGTTCGATGCCGACGGGCTGGAACTGCCGGGGAAGATTCGCAACGTGACTGTCGCCAAGGCGGCCGAGCAGAACCAGCGCGGGTTCTATTCACGGTGGGCCGAGTTCCTGACCGCTCCGAGTTGGGACGAGCTGGCGACGTGGCGCAACGGCCACGCCAACGGCGCCTCCTTCGACAAGCTCAGGATGAGCGACAGCGGCGCATCCATCGCTGCGGGGAACTGACAATGACGACCGTCGGGGCGAACGTGGCCCGGATGCTGCTGAAGAACGAGGTGGAGGAGTTCCTGTACCACGAGGCGGAGTTGCTGGATGACCGGCGATTCGCCGAGTGGCTGGAGTTGCTCAGCGACGACATCCGGTACTGGATGCCGATGCGGCGCAACGTCAAGTTCGGCGAGTTGGACCGGGAGTTCACCCGCGAGGGCCACGACATCAACTGGTTCGACGAGGGAAAGTCCACCTTGGAGCGGCGCGTCAGCCAGATCCTTACAGGGGTGCACTGGGCGGAGGAGCCACTGTCGCGCATCTGCCATATGGTGTCGAATGTGCAACTGCTGAACGCCACTCCGTCGGCGGAGGATGCGGCCGAGGTGGAGATCAAGTGCCGCTTCCTGATCTACCGGAACCGAGTGGAGACGGAGACGGATTTCCTGATCGGCAAGCGGGAGGACGTTCTGCGCCGGGAGGATGGCGAGTGGAAGATAGCGCAGCGCAAGGTGATTCTGGACCAGAACGTGCTGCTGGCCAAGAAACCTGACTTTTTTCTTCTAGGGCGTTCCCCTGCTCAGCAAGCGGAGGGAATGCATGAATTTGCTGTATCCCAGCTTCCACAGAGGAAATGGCGGAAGCTGCGGCACTGATGACAGACTTACGGAGATGGGCCCATGGCCGATGTTATTAACCTGATTACCATTGCGGAAGGCGCCACGATTTCGACCCTCAACGGCTCCACTGCCGAGGTGGTCACCAACCCAAAGGACGGCGTGTGGGTCTTCGCCAAGTACCTGACCTCGCCGGACGACCCCGATCTGGTGGGGACGGAGGATATGATCTTCGCCCAGGACATCGCCGAAGTACTGACCGGGGAGTAACGCCTGCCATGACCATGCCCACGCTTGAAGAACTCAGGGAAGCCTTCCTGGCCGGCTTCGATTCGATCGACGAAGGTGAGGGGTTCTACCCGGGGTTCCACGCCTTCCTTAAATACCACGGATACACCCTGCGCGAAGATATGCCCTGCACGTGCATTGACCACGGCGCCCACGGCCATCAGCCCGAATGCCGCTGGGTGAAAGACCGGGTTTAAAGGGCCGGGTTCAAAAGAAAGCGGGAGATCTGCGATGACGAAACGGTTGGACGGCGGCGACGCCATCCTCGAGGCACTCCGGAACCTTGACGTAGATTACATCATCTCGTCGCCGGGCTCGGAGTGGCCGTCAGTCTGGGAGGCCCTCGCTCGTCAGAAGGTGAATGAGCAACCGGGCCCAGCGTACATCAACTGCTGGCACGAGACGCTGGCGGTGGCATGGCGTCCGGTATACCCGGATGACGGGTCGGATGCAGGCGGTACTGCTGCACGCCTGGAGTGGGGGTGCTGCAGGGGTCCATGGGCATCCACGGAGCCTACCAGAGCGAGGTGCCGATGCTGGTGTGCTCGGGCGAGTCGACCACCTATGGCGAGGTGGCGGAGATGGACCCTGGCCCTCAGTGGCTGCGCAATCTCAGCATCGTGGGCGGTCCGAACCGGTTGGTGGAGCCGTTCACCAAGTGGAGCAGCCGGATCACCAGCGGGGCGACCCTGTATGAGATTGTGGCCCGCGCGGGTGAGCTGGCGCAGCGAACACCCAAGGGGCCGGCGTTCCTGAACGTACCCATCGAGACGATGCTGGAGGAATGGACGCCAAAGCAGCCGCTGAAGCATCGTCCCGCCGCGCCTGTCAGCCATCCGGATCCGTCAGAGGTGGCTCGAGTAGCGGACCTGGTCTGCCGCGCCGCCAACCCGGTCATTGTGGCCGACTCTGCTGGCCGCACCGCTGCCGGATTCAATGCCCTGATCTCGCTGGCTGAATCGCGGGGCATTCCGGTATTCGAGGGCGAGGGCCCGGCGTACAACAACTTCCCTAAGAGCCACCCTCTGCACCACGGGTACGACCTGCGGCGGGAGATGGAACGCTTCGACCTGTTCTTGGTGATCGGCAACCGGGCGCCGTGGTACCCGCCCAGCGCCGGGCCGGCGGCAACCGTGGTGATCATCGACGAGTACCCTGTCAAGGAGTACATGGTCCACCAGGACCTGCAGGCCGATCTGTACCTGGAGGGTTCGCTGCCGGTGACCCTGGCCGCGCTTGACGCCGCGGTGCGAGAGCGGAGCGACGAACCGCCCGCCCTGCCGCCGCACCCCAACCCCGTGTGGGAGCGCTACAGTGCGCTGGATGCCGCCGCGTCCTCTGCATCGCCCATCGACCCCGGTTTCCTGTGCAACACCATCAGCGAGACGCTGCCGTCGAACACGGTCTTCGTAGACGAGACGATCCTGCACCGGGCCCAGATCCTGCGGCGCATTGCGTGGGACAACCCGCTGTCGTACCTGCGTCCCGCCGGCGGGCTGGGGCAGGGGCTGGGAATCGCGCTGGGCGCGAAACTGGCAGCGCCAGAGCGGCCGGTGACAGCGCTGATCGGCGACGGCTCGTTCCTCTACAACCCCATCACCCAGAGCCTGGGCGTGGCGCGGGAGAGCAACCTGCCCATCCTGATCGTGGTGTTCAACAACGCTAGCTACGCCGCGATGAAGAGCCTGCACCACTCCTTCTACCCGTGGGGCACCGCAGTGCAATCTGGCATCTACTACGGCGTGGACATTCCGGGCCCCGACTACTCCGATCTGGCCAGGCCCTTCGGAGGTCACGGCGAGCGGGTGGAGGACCCGGCGCGGCTCAAGGGCGCGCTGCTGGAGGCGCAGGCGGTTGTGGACTCGGGACGAGTCGCCATCGTGGACGTGGCACTGTCGGCCTGACCGCATTTTTTAAGACCCTTCCCCAAGGGAACTCGGCCGTTCTTCGAAAAGCTCAGGAGGGCCGGGTTTTTGCGTGTCAGTCGAGCACTAGCTGAAGCGGTCAGCGCGGAAGGGCTCCAAAGGTTCGGCTGCGCTGTCGAGCAGCCAGTTGGCGACCAGTTCCGCGGTGCCGGGGCTGAGCATGATGCCAACGGCGTCGTGACCGGTGGCGATGGTGAGACCGTCAACCCCGGGGACAGGACCGAGGATGGGGCGTCCGTCGAGCGTAGCGGGGCGGACGCCGGCGCGGGCAGACACGAAGGCGGCATCGGCGAGCGACGGGAAGGATCTGAGGCCCCCGCTGATGAGGGTAGCGACGCCCTCTGCAGTGACCGTCTCGTCGGTGCGACCCTCCTCCCGCGTGGACGCCACCAGGATGTTGCCGTCGAGGCGGGGCACCACGTAGACGCTGGAGTTCCGGATGGGCGTTTGGGGCATGAACCCGGGACGCCGCAACAGGATCCGCTGTCCCTTGACGCCGCGCACGGGCAGGTCCAGCGGGCCCCCTGGCGCTGCCCAGCGACCGCCGATACCGCTGCCGGGACCCGCCGCCAGGACCACTTGGCCCGTGGCGATGCTGCCGGCGGTGGTCTCGATTCCCGTGATCCGGATTCCGTCGTGGTTCAGACCGGTTACCTCGGTTCGTTCGTAGAGCCTGGCGCCCAACCGGCCCGCTGCGTGGACCAGGGAGTCGCAGAATCGCTGGCCGCGAACGCGTATCCCTCGTGCGGAGAAAAGAGGGCGGCTAGGACCTCGGGACTGGCCTCGGGTTCGCGCCGCAGGATGTCTTCCCGCTCCAGCCATTCCACCCCGAAGTCGAGTTGGGACTGCCAGCGGTGATAACTGCGCAGTTCCGCAACCTCGTCTTCTCTGAATGCCACCTTCATCACGCCGTTCTGCTGAAACTCCGGGTTGACGCCGGCCTCGGTCAGCTCGGCGGCCCACTGGGGGAACAGTTCAAGGCTGCGCAGGCCGAGTCGTAACATGGCCGTGTCGTCGGGGTCGAGGTGCCACAACGGGCCGACCACGCCGGCGGTGGCACCGGAGGCCCCTCCGCCGAATACGCCCTTTTCAACCAGCGCGCACGACACGTTGCGCCTGGCGAGCCGCCACGCAATGGCGCATCCCATAACGCCGCCACCTATGATTGCTACGTCGACCGATTCCGGCATGGGGAGCGCCTCCAACAAAGATCGCGCGAGTGTAGGTTCAGTTCAAGGAGACTGTCAATGAGGGATACTTGGCGTCCGATAGCGTTCCACCTCAGGTGATTTGCGGGCTTGTGAGCGGTCGTAGCCGTGAGGCATGTCCCGGTGGGGCATTTCCCTCACAGAACAAGGGATCGAGGCCCGAAATGCCGTATGCCCCAGTTTCCGTTGCAACATCCCCGTCTCGCCCTTTGACTCTCTCGTCTGACAACTGACAGTAGCCCCTTGCCAAGCCTCATGACGCCTCTCTGCCATTGAATCCGGCGGACCCAGAGGTCAGCGATTCCAGCACCGCGGCCAACACATAGATTGCATCAATGCCAGGCGGCCCCGACCTCAGCCCCGACACACTTCACCCCGGCGCAGAGCCTGTCCTCAAACAGCCACGGGGATAGGCGAGGCCAACGCCTGGGAAAGTGGCAAAGAGCACAGATATGCACAAAATTGCACACATCTCACCTCCTCATTTGGCCTCAACCCGAATTGCGGCACCCCCGCAGGGAAGTGGAAATCATGGGTCCCGCCCCTATGTCGGTCAAAGCCAGGACCACTTCCATCGATGGTAGTGCCAGCAGCAGGGACCGGGCTGTCTTGGGGAGTGCCTAGATTGTCAGCGTACCGTCCTTCTGCTAGGCTTTCGCGAAAAGCGGGGACGGAATGAGGCAGGGTAGAACAACCAGAGTAGACCTGTTTGCGACGTGCATCGTGGACCAGCTATTTCCGGATGTGGGGGTTAGCGTGGTGCGGGTGCTGCGGCGCCTTGGGGTAGAGGTGGGATATCCCGAGGGACAGACGTGCTGCGGGCAGGCGCTGTACAACTCGGGGTACCGTCGGGAAGCGCGTGAGATGGCGGTGCGGACGCTGGGAGAATTCGGGGACAGCGAGTACGTGGTGGTGCCGTCAGGGTCGTGCGCCGCAATGATGCGGGTGTTCTACCTCGACCTCTTCGAGGACGAACCGGAGATGCTGCGGCGGGCGGTGGCGATGTCGCACCGGGTGTACGAGTTCTCCGAGTTCTTGGTCAAAGTGCTCGGCGCGAACGACACAGCGGAGAGCGAGTCCGGGATCAGCGGCGGGTTCAAGGGGCAGGGAAGCGCGGCATTTCATCACGGGTGCCACCTGCTGCGGGAGATGGAAGTGCGGGACGAGCCGCGGGCGCTGCTGGGAGCGGTGGAGGGGCTGGAGGTGAGGGAGCTGCGGGACGCGGAAACGTGCTGCGGGTTCGGCGGGAGCTTCTCGGTCAAGCTGCCGCACATCTCAGAGGGGATGCTGGCGGACAAGGTGGCGAGCGTGCGGGAGTCGGGGGCGGACACGCTGGTATCGTGCGATATGAGCTGCCTGATGCACATTGGCGGGGCGCTGCGTCGCGAGGACCCTGACATCAAGATTCGCCACATCGCGCAGGTGCTGGACGAGGGCAGCCGGGGGTAACCGGGGCCCTCGATTCCTACTTTGGCGGGAATACGGGTTTAGGGTAATGCGAGAATGACGATATGCCGGAAATAAAGACGAGCCAGTTCGTGACGGCGTCGGCGTCGGCAATGCTGGACCCGAAGCTGCGGCGGGCGTTGGACCGCGTGGGGTCTGGGTTCGACGTGGCGCGCCGCAACGCCATCGAGGAGGTCTCGTCGGAGGCGTGGGAGGAATGGCGGGAAGAGGCCCGGCAGATCAAGATCCACACCCTCGACCACCTCGACTATTACCTGGAACTGCTGTACGACAACGTAACCGCCGCCGGAGGGCAGGTCCACTTCGCTGCCGACGCCGCCGAGGCCAACGCCATCGTGGGCCACCTGGCCCAGAGCCGGGGCGTCAAGGTGGCCACCAAGAGCAAGAGCATGGTGTCGGAGGAGCTGGAGCTGAACCCGGTGCTGGAGTCGCTGGGGATCGACGTCTACGAGACCGACCTGGGCGAGTACATCATCCAGCTCGCGGAGGAGACGCCGTCGCACCTGGTTGCTCCGGCTCTGCACAAATCGAAAGAGGACGTGGCCGAGCTGTTCGCCGACAAGCTGGGCTTGCCGTACAACGAGGACATCGAGGTGATGGCCGCCGCGGCGCGGGTGGCATTGCGCGACAAGTTCATGCAGGCCGACCTTGGCATCAGCGGGGCCAACTTCGTGGTCGCCGAGACCGGGACGCTGGTGATCGTCACCAACGAGGGCAACGGGCGGCTCTGCACTTCGGCGCCGAGGATGCACATCGGCATCACGGGGATGGAAAAAGTGATCCCGTCGATGCAGGACCTGGCGGTCTTCCTGCGGCTGCTGCCCCGCTCCGCCACCGGGCAGCGCATTTCCAGCTACGTCAGCATGATCACCGGCCCGCGCCGGGAGGACGACGAGGACGGGCCGGAGGAGTTCCACCTCGTCCTGGTGGACAACGGCCGCTCCCGGATGCTGCGAGACCCCAAGCTGCGTGAAGCGCTGTACTGCATCCGCTGCGGGGCATGCCTGAACATCTGCCCGGTGTACCAGCGGGTCGGCGGGCACGCCTACGGCTGGGTGTATCCCGGCCCCATCGGGGCGATAGTGTCGCCGATGCTGACCGGGCTCAAGGAATCGAAAATGCTGCCCCAGGCCTCCAGCCTGTGTGGCGCGTGCCGAGAGGCCTGTCCTGTCAAGATCAACATCCCGCGCATGCTGCTGGAGCTGCGCCACAGGACAGCGGAGAGCGAGGACCCGGCGGAGCGGGCATCATCCGGATCGGAGCGGTTCCTGGCGAGGATGTATTCCCGGCTGATGAGAAGTCCGGGGCGAATGGGATTCGCGGCGAGCATGGGGGCGAATCGCGCAGAAGCTCGTGCCGGGGATGCCGAGGCGCGACGGCTGGATCAGGCGGGCGCCGCTTCCCCTGCTGTCCCGCTGGACCAGGGCACGGGACCTGCCGGAGCTGCCGCCCAAGTCCTTCCGGGACATCTGGCGGGATGAGCTTGGCGGCGAGGGCCGCAACGGCGGAAGCCATGGCGACCGTTAACTCCGGGGGAATGCCGGGGCGCCCCAAGGCCGAGTTCCTGCGCTCGGTAAGGGATGCGCTGGGTAGAGTCGAGGGGCCGCCGGAGCACCCGTATCACCGGCTGGAAGAGGAGCTTGATACCCTCGAGGAACGGGCCACCGAACTGGAAACGCGGCTGCGGGAAAACCGCCCGCAACTGCTGGACCGATTCGTCGAAATGGCGGCCAAGGGCGGCTGGAATGTACACCGCGTTTCTGGGGCGGAGGCGGCCGTCGGGCAGGTCGATTCCATCATCGGAGAATTGGGCGCAACCCGCATAGTCCGCTCCGGGCAGCCGGTGTTCGACGATCTGCCGGTGGACACCGCGCTGGATTGGCGGGGCATCGAATTGGTTCCGGTCGTCAGGGACAGCTTGACCACCCGGGAGGAGTTGCGGGAAAAGATGCGCCATGCCGACGTCGGCCTTACCGGGACCGACTACGCCCTTGCTGAAACCGGGTCGCTGGTCATTATGCCCCGGCAGGGACTATCGCGGCTGGTCTCGCTGGTGCCGCCGGTGCACGTGGCCCTGGTCCGACCTGAGGAGGTGCTGGAGAGCCTGCATGACCTCTTCCTCCTGCGCCGCCTGGAGTACAAGCGCCGCGGGGGCGAGATGGGCAGCTACCTGAACTTCATCACCGGGCCCAGCCGCACCGCCGACATCGAGATGACCATTGTGCAGGGCGTACACGGGCCTCGCGCAGTGCATATGATATTGGTCGAATAGTCGACCCTGGTCTACTGGCCACCGAAAATCGCTGAGGGGTTCTGAAAATGCCAATGCGCGTGGGCTTTGCCCAATTCCGCAAGCAGATGCTTGAGCGGGAACTGGAGAGCATCCAGGAGGTCCTGCCCATGCTCGGGGTGGAAAAGGTCATCCTGACTGGCGAGGTCGCGGCGGGCGAGTACACGCCGGAGAGCCGAATAGAGCTCATCGTGGTGCACGATACCGATCGGCCCTTCGGCAGGCGCTCAGACTTCTTTTCATACCACCTTGGAAGTTCGGTGGAAATTGACACCCAGGTCTACACCCCCGAGGAATTCGAGAATCTGAAGGATGTTTTGCCGGCGTTGCGGCGTGCTTGTGCCGAAGGAAGGGAGATTTTTAATGCCTGATTACCTGTCTGAGGGCGCACGCTGGTTGCGGCAAGCCGAGAAGGATCTGGAGGATGCCCAGGTTTCTGCGGGACAACGGGCGGCACAATCTGGCCTGTTTCCAGGGGCAGCAGGCGGCCGAGAAAGCGGTCAAGGCCTACCTGTACCACAAGCGGGTGGAGGACGTCTGGGGACACTCGCTGCTGGACCTTTGCGAGGATGCCAAGCTCTTCGACATGATGTTCGACACGGTTAAAAGCGAGGCGAGGCAGCTCGACAAGTACCACTACATCACGCGGTACCCTGAGTTCCTGCCAAGCGGTGCCAGCTTCGAGGCCTTCGACGAGGTGGACGCTGATCGCTCCATCGATCTCTCGAACCTGGTGCTGGAATTCGTTAAAGAGCGAATGGCCTGAGGACAACGGTTTCAGGTTAACGCGCCGCCAGTGCCCCGCCAGTGACCTTGGTTCCCAGCAGAGCCGGCGAGAACATCATTCAGTGGTTGACTCTATGACCCGGCTTCACAGTTCGGGCTGGACAGTTGACAGCGGCCTGCAGGTCCAACAGTGCGCCGGGTTCAGGGCATCCGTTTTCCTGTCAGTATGAGCCGGAGGGTGTGCTCGGCGGCCGCCTCCAGCAGTTCGGCGGTCCGGGACAGGGAAACGTCGAAGGTCATCGGGGCGGTCAGCGATGCTGACGACGGCCGCCAGACCGTGGTCGTACAGTTCTTCGTACCCAGCACCCAGGCCGCCAGCCAGCAATACCGTCGGAACGTCGTGGGCCCGAGCGTGGCGGGCGACTCCCACGGGGGCCTTGTTAAAGATGGTCGAATGGTCGGCGCGGCCTTCACCGGTAATCACCAGGTCGGCGCCATCCAGCAGTGAGTCAAAATCGATGACCTCGCAGACCATGTCGATTCCTGATTGCAGCGTGGCGCCGGTGAAGGCCATGAGGCCCGCCCCCAAGCCTCCCGCCGCCCCCGCGCCCGGTTGCTCCGCCACGGCACGCCCGAGATCGCGGGAGACGACGCGGGCGTAGTTGGCCAACGCGGCGTCGAGCTCCTGTACCATGTCAGGGTTCGCGCCCTTCTGTGGGCCGAATACAGCAGACGCACCATCCGGGCCGCACAACGGGTTGGTAACGTCGGTGGCAGCGATTACGGTTGCCTCACTGAGCCTGGGATGCAGACCATTGACCTCGATGCGAGCCAAGCGAGCCAAAGCGCTGCCACCTGAGGCAAGGGGATTCCCGGCAGCATCCAGGAAACGAGCTCCCAGCGCCGTGGCCATCCCAGCGCCGCCATCATTGGTGGCGCTCCCGCCGAGACCGACGATGATGCGCGTGTAGCCCCGGTCAAGGGCTTCCCTCAAAATCTCGCCGGTGCCGGCAGTGGTTGTGACCCGCGGGTTGCGACGGCGTTGGGGCACCAGGGCGAGACCCGACGCCAGCGCCATCTCTATCACAGCAGTCCGCCCATCTCCCATTACGCCCCACTGGGCGTCAATCGGCTGGCCCAATGGCCCGGTTACGGTGCTCGTGAACACTTCTCCACCAGTGCCGTCAACCAGCGCATTCATCGTCCCGTCGCCGCCGTCGGCAACGGGGGCTAGGACCGTTTCGGCGTCCGGAACGGCGGCAGCAACGCCGCGAGCGATGGCGCGGGCGGCATCCATTCCCGAGATGCCCGCCTTGAATCCCTGCGGAGCTATGACGATCTTCATTCTTGGCTCTTACCCGTCCGGCCAGGAACGGTTTTGGGGTGCCGGGGACGCTCAATAAAGGTCGACGACCTCTGCGTCCCGCGATTATACACCGGCGGTTTTTAAACACTATTGTGTTATAGTGCTACAGTCGCCAATGGGCCCGTTGGTTGAAGAGCCGTGCCCAGAATCAATCAAAGATACCATCGTGCGCTTCCCGTTTTCCTGCTTTGATTCGCTGTCAATGTCTTGGCTTGCGCGCCTTTATTTCATGTCGGGAGTTGAGTTTATGTCCACTGCCGGATCCGCCGGCCCGTCCAAAGAAGAACTGAAACGCAGAGCGACGGAGGCCATAGACTCACGCTCAGACGAACTGGTCTCATTGTCAAAGGGCGATCCTGGAAAATCCGGAACCCGGATTTCGTGAGACCAAGACAGCACGGCTGGTGGCCAGCAAGTTCGCGGACTTGGGAATGCCCTCAAGGGTTGGACTGGCATTGACCGGGGTGCGGGCCGACCTGGTGGGAGGGAGCCCGGGTCCAGCACTGGCAATCATCGGCGAGTTGGACTCCCTCATCGTAAACGAGCACCCCCACGCCGACAGTGGCACCGGCGCAGCGCACGCATGCGGCCACCACTGCCAGATAGGCATGATCGTGGGAGCGGCCATGGGACTGATTCAGTCCGACGTGCTGGAGTCTCTCAGCGGGAGGCTGGCATTCATGGCCGTTCCCGCCGAGGAATACATCGAGATCGAATACCGGGATGGGTTGCGTCGGCAGGGCAAGCTGGAGTTCCTTGGCGGCAAGCCAGAGCTCGTGAAGCTGGGAGAGTTCGACGACATCGACCTGGCAATGATGTGCCACACGACCTCCAACCCCGACGAAAGACAGCTCTGTATCAGCGGTGAGAACAACGGAACGCTGGCGAAGAAGATACAGTTCCTGGGCCGGGGGGCCCACGCGGGAGGCGCACCGCACCTCGGAATCAACGCGTTGAATGCGGCCAGCCTCGCAATTTCGGCGATTCACTACAACCGAGAAACGTTCAGAGACAGCGACAGCATTCGGGTGCACCCCATCATCACCAAGGGTGGGGAGGCGGTCAGCGCGGTTCCAGCCGATGTAAGGATGGAAACGTTTGTGCGGGGCCGTACTCTGGACGCTATCATGGACGCCAACACCAAGGTGGACCGGGCTCTGAAGGCCGGGGCCATGGCCGTGGGGGGCGACGTGGTGATCCAGACTATTCCCGGATACCTCCCCCTGCGCCAGAACTCAACTATGAACGACGTGTTCCGGGCCAACGCTCACGCCTTGGTCGGAGAAGAAAACACCGGCCACGTGGCCTATCGGGGCGGCTCCACGGATATGGGCGACATCAGCCATCTGATGCCTGCCATCCATCCCTACGTCGGGGGCGCAACAGGTATCGGGCATGGCGCGGACTACGTGGTGCAGGATTACAGCCTGGCAGTGATCACAGCCGCGAAGGCGCTCGCCTGCACCACAATTGATCTGCTTGCAGATGGAGCGCAGGTTGGCGGGAACATTGTTTCCAATCACCGGCCAGAAATGACGAGGCCCGAATACCTCAAGTTCATGCGAAGCATGGCCAAGGAAGAAAGCTTCAAGGGCGCTTAATTATGTTGACTGTTCAAGAGCTGAAGCAACGTGCCTGTGAGACCATCGACAAACGCAAGAGGGATATCATAGGAGTCGCTCAGCAGGCCCTTTCCCACCCCGAAGCCGGCTTCCGAGAGCATCGCACGGCAGGCCTCGTTGCCCAGAAGTTCAACGAACTGCAGATCCCACACCAAAGTGGACTGGCCCTGACAGGACTCAAGGGCAGGATTCCGGGGGGAGCCGGTTCCGGCCCAAGGGTGGCCCTGATCGGCGAACTGGACTCGCTGGTGGTAACCGAGCATCCTCACGCCGACCCAGAGACGGGGGCAGCCCACGCTTGCGGCCATCACTGCCAGTTGGGCATGATGCTGGGGGCCACGATGGGTCTGCAGACCCCGGAAGTATTGTCGCAGCTGTCCGGCGAGATCGTGCCGTTCGCGGTGCCCGCCGAAGAATTCATCGAGGTCGAGCAGAGGCTGGAGCTGCGGTCACAGAAAAAGCTGGAGTTCATGGGAGGCAAGCAGGAACTCATCCGGCTAGGGCATTTCGACGATGTGGACATCGCCATGATGTGCCATACCGCAAGCGACATGGGCGAGCGCAAGTTCGCCATTGGTGGCACCAGCAACGGCCACGTAGTCAAGTACATCCGCTACATCGGTCGCGGAGCCCACGCCGGCAGTTCTCCACACCTGGGCATAAACGCGCTCAACGCCGCCTCTTTCGCAATGCAGGCCATCAACGCCACGAGGGAGACGCACCGCGCCGAAGACACTGTGCGCATCCACGGGATCATGACCAAGGGCGGAGAGGCCGTGAACGCCGTCCCTTCCGAAGTGAAACTGGAGTGGCGAGTCCGGTCATCCACTCCGCAGGTCGTAGTCAAAAACTCGCAGGTCGTAGACCGCTGCTTCAAGTCAGGCGCGCTGGCCGTGGGAGCCCAGGTTGAGATCACGACGATCCCAGGCTACATGCCGATGCGCAACGATTCCAGGCTTCAGGAGCTATTCCGGCGTAATGCGGCCACGGTCGTGGGCGAAAATGGAACGATGGTCATGCCCGCCGGGCGCAACCGAGGTGGTTCCACCGACATGGGCGACCTCTCCCAGCTCATTCCCGCCATCCATCCATACACCGGCGGTGCGACCGGTCCCGGCCACAGCAAGAGCTACATCGTCACCGACTACGAGGTGGCAGTGATCAATCCTGCCAAGATAATGGCAATGGCAGTCATCGATCTGCTTTACGACGGCGCGAAACAGGCAAAAGAGGTCAAGTCGTCGTTCAAGGCGGCGATGTCCCGAAGCGCCTACCTGCGATTTCAGCGGGAACAGGCGCAGTCGGCCCGCTTCGACGGCGCCGCTGCGTAGAAAGTCGACAGCCGGCTGGCTTTTAGAATTGCGCTGGCAGATTCAGGCGCTTGAATGATGGGTCGTACTCTCGTGTGCGACCTATTCAGCTTCCAGTGATGCCCTGTTCGACTATGCTCCCATTGCCCACATGCCTACCCCAGCGATCAGAGGAATAGTCAGGTTGTCGTCGGGCGGGATTCCCGCGAGCTCCACCAGGGCTGCGATGGCTGCGCTGGGCCACAGGGCCCAGTGGTGCACCAGGGCCCCGCTGGCCACGAGCACGCCTGCAATGGCGCATCCCGTGGCTGCGAATGCGATCGTCCCGCCGGGGGACTTTCCCTTCCACCGCGGGCCAGGCACTCGTCGGCCGACGAGTGCCGCCACTGGGTCGCCCAGCGCAAGGAAGAACATCACTGGAATGCCCACGTCCCTGCCGAAGAGCCAGAAAACCAACGTGGCCGCTATGAGCATATGCGTCGCCCCAGTCAGGCGCGCCTCCTCCTCGGTCTTGAGAAGGGGGGACATCAACTGCATATAGACGCGGTTTAGAGGACCTACGCCGAAGCGGGTGAGATCCAAGGCGATTGCTCCCCCAGCCAGGACCGCCAGAGCGATCAGAAATTCGCGTTCCGGGGTCCATATCGCCGCAGCGGGAACGGTGGAACCGGCGAGCAGGTGAAATAGGCGGCGCCAGATGGGAGGAGGCCCGGTCGGCCCGCTATGCTTCCTCCCCGCGTAAATCACCAGCTCGGCGAATTGCTTCATTGGATAGCATGCCCTGCTGGAGAGATTTGGGGGGCTACCGACGGCCCTGTGGAAAAACCGTCAGTCCCATTCAGGCCAGAAGCGATCGAGGGACAAGGATGGGAGACCTCCGTGGGTTCCGGGAGGTATTAGAAATCAAAGGTGATTGAGTCGCCGGCCCGCCAGCGTATATCCCGAAACTCGGTGCCAACAGGGGCTTCGAAAATCAGGAACCCGTCCACACCATGTCCTCGCTGCATCTCGAACGAGCCCTGGAGGAACCTCGTGGTACGGTCTATGTAGTCTCCATCCGCGACTGGGGCGGCCACCCGAAGTGCCGCGGGGCGCTCCGTGCCGTCCTCGCCACTGCATGCGTAACCGTACGTGCCCTCTTGGCCGAAGCTGTACGACAGCGAAGATTCCGGAGCAATGTCAACCTTTCCTTCAGGACCCACCGCTACGGACGAGTCCTCAAAGGCCACTACCTGGTTCTCAGCGGACTCGCTTTGCCACCTGACCGATGAGCCCACGTCTATGAGGGCGCGCGTACCATCGAAGCAGTCACCCTGGTTGATCCTGACGACCGCCTCTTCTGCTCCGCGAAAGTCTTGCCACGCGGTCTCGGAGACTGGCAGCGGGAAAAGGTGGCGTTGGCAAAGTCTCGCAACTCTGCAGCTTCCCGACCCACGTTTATGATGGCGCTGACGGCGGTATGATTTTCCACCTTGGCCCTCACCAGCACTAGTTCCAGGCCAGGAGCCGAGGGGGAGATACTCCATTGGCGTTCCTCGCCGACGGGATCACAGACTGGCGGGGTTGACCCCTCCAGCACATCGCAGGTTGCGTAGCGCAACTCCGATGTCCGCTCCACGCTGACGACGCTGAAGTGGAGGGTCCTGCCCTGCCTGTATTGGCCCAGCGTCGAGGATTCCGAGGTGCACGACATCAAGGCAGCTGCCGCCAGGCAGGCCAGCAAGACGGCAAAGGTGATCGCCACATATTTTCTGGGGATGGGGACGGCCATGGTGTTGCTTGCCTGGAGTTTCCTTGTAAGCCTGAGGAATATCATGAACCGGCAGTGGTCAGACTGGGCAACTGACGCAGCCGTTCCACCAGATCTACGAGAACGTCGAGCAGATAATCAACCTGCTCATCGGTGTTGTCCTTGCCCAGGGTGAGACGGAGGCTGCCCCTGGCCACCTCGGCCGATTGTCCCAGGGCCAAGAGGACGTGGGAGGGCTCCAGAGATCCCGAGCTGCAAGCGCTGCCGCTGGAGGCAGCGACTCCTGCCATGTCCAGCCCCAGCAGGATGGGCTCGCCCTCGACCCCGGGAAAGGAAAAGTTGGCGTTATTGGGGAGTCTCTGGGTCGGATGGCCGTTCAGGCGGCTACCCCGCACCCGCGCCAGTACCTGATCTACGATGCGGTCCCTCAGGGCAGCACAATGGCGGCTGGACTCCTCTCGCTGCGAGTTGGCGGTCTCAAGCGCCACCGACAACCCCACTATTCCTGGGATGTTTTCGGTGCCGGAACGGCGTTCGCGTTCCTGTCCGCCGCCCAGCAGGAATGGGAGAAAGGGTGCCCCACGGCGTATGAACAGCACTCCCGTTCCCTTCGGGCCGTGAAACTTGTGCCCAGACAGGCTGAGCAAGTCGACCCCGAGCTTCCTCACGTCAAGGTCGAGGTAGCCGGCCGCCTGAACCGCATCGGTGTGAAACAGGATGGTGCGGGAGAGGTCGGCAGCCCGCTGCTTGACCACCTGGGGCGATTTCGGGAATGGGGTTGACCACACCAATCTCGTTGTTGGCGTACATCACGGAGACGAGGGTGGTCCTGTCGGTAATCGCCCTCGATACGGCATCCGGCTGGACTATCCCGTCAGAATCCACAGGGAGGTAGGTAACATCGTAGCCCTGCGACTCAAGGTGCTGACAAGTGTGCAGAACGGCGTGATGCTCCACGCTGGTCGTAATGATGTGGTTGCCGGTCTCCTGCAGGGCTGTGGCGACGCCCACGATAGCAGCGTTGTCCGATTCTGTGCCGCCGCCGGTGAACACCACCTCCCGGGCACGACAGTTAAGCACCCGCGCCACCCGGTCGCGCGCCTCGTCAAGGGCGTAGCGCGCCTGCTGGCCCACGGCGTGAATACTTGAGGGATTGCCGAACAGTTCGGTGAAGTACGGGGTCATTGCCCGCAACACTTCGGGGCAAGGGGAGTGGTGCCCGCGTGGTCCATGTAAACGATGCCATCGGGAGCCCGGTTCTGCGTCATTCTCTTCAGCTATCTTCCAGTTTCAGGAAAGTAAAATCAAATGCAGGCGGTAACGACATTCTAGCACAGCGGGCCGACAGGCCCTAAGAATCAATCACTTAAAGCAGCGCTCATTCCAGGTGGTCGAGCGTTATTCCGGGACTGCATCCGGCCCTCTCAACCGTCATTGAGGCTCGACCCTTGGATCTACGCTATGGCTGGGATTATGGACAGTTCTGCGGGTCACGCCTGCTGGTTGGCCGGGTGCATTTGCCGGGCTGTGGCGTGGGGATTTTGGGACAGACAATTTGGCCCTTTTTTCCATCCCATCCCATTTTTCCATTTTCACCCGTCCGTTAGTTACGGATTGGGCCGCGGGTGAATAAAATTTTGTTTCCGGCCCCATTCTGTACCATTGCGTGCCACTGGGCTTGTCCGGCCGGGCGACGGAGCCGTTGGGGGGTCTTGAGGGGCGTATGTCGGGGATCAAGCGCAGGATCCATGGTAGGGGCGCGTCATGCGGCTTGGTAAGGGGCACCTGTCAGCAGACTCTATTCGAGTTCCGAAGAGGAGCGGAGGGCGCGTCTCCTGTCGCGGTAGGTCTATTCTTAAAGCCGGCAAGCCGCTTCTTGAGAGATCCCTAGGGACGGTTTGACTTGGGATAGCTGCCGGTCGCCACGGACAGTAGGAAGAATCCGATAACGGCGGCCCAGACGCCATCTATCCAGTTGTCCCAGACAACCACGTAGAGGACGCCCCCCACAATCATCAGCAGTCCGACCGCCTGTCCACACCGGGCGGCCACCTGGGTGGCACGCAGGTGGCTTCCTGAACCGGCCCAGACTATGGCCCGCAACACGCGGCCGCCGTCGAGAGGAAAGCCCGGAATCATGTTAAAGACACCCACTGACAAATTACCCCAAGCCAGCATAAAGGCCACCATTTCGACCGGCGAGGCGTATCTCACGGACCACAGTCCGAACCCGGGGCTCAACCAGATGAATATTCCTCCGGCTGCTATGGCCAGCGCGATGCTGGTCAGGGGGCCGACCACGGAAATCAGGAACTCCTCAGAGGGGCGTTCCGGTTCCCTGACCAAGTGGGAAACGCCGCCGAAAATGAACAGCGTGATCCCTGCTACCGGAATTCCCCGGCTGAGGGCCACAAGGCTGTGGGAGAGTTCGTGGGCCAGAACCGACAGAAAGAACAGACACACTGTGATTATGGCCACCAGCCATTGCTGGTACACCGGCCACGGCGGGTAAAAGGAGTTGAAGCGGCTGGCCAGCAGATAGGTCAGCAGCAGGAAAATGACAACCCAGGTGATATTGATCTCGACCGGGATGCCAAACACCCGGCCCAGCCTTAGGGACTTACCCATGTTCAATAGAAATCCAAAGGGGCGTTACTACCACAAGGATACCAAATCGAGGCAGCGGGAGAATCAACAGATTCTCAAGCACATTCGAATGAGTTAGCCGAGGAGTTGTAGGAAAGGAATTGCTCAGATGGAAGGGGGAAGGGCGGTGGAATATGCGGCCAGCTTGCCGACCAAGCGGGCGGCGGTATATGTGCACGCAACGGGCCCTTCGGCCGGCGCAAGTTCGCATACGTCGAACCCGACAATTCGCTTCGTCTCAGCGACCCTCCGTAAGAGAGAGGTAACCTGCATCCAAGTGAGGCCGCCGGGCTCAGGCGTGCCAACGGCTGCCATGACAGATGGGTCGAACACATCCAGGTCGACGCTGACATACACTTCATCGCCGAGGGCGGCGATTATGTCGTCCGCGGGGAGCGGGCGACCGTCGTCCGGGCACGGCCAGACCGGGATGTGGTTTTCGCGGATGAAGTCGCGCTCCTCGATGGAGAGGCTCCTCACACCAGCCAGAACGACTGGGCAAAGGTCAAACACGCGGCGCGCGCCCGAGGCGTGGCCCCACTGTGTGCCCTGGTACTCGTCGCGCAGGTCAGCGTGAGCGTCGAGATAGAGGACAGTAAGGGAGGGATAGGCGTCGAAGTGCGCCTCAACGCTGCCAGACGTCAAGGAGTGCTCGCCTCCCAACACACCGACCACGCGATTAGGCGCGATACAGGACGCGACGGCCCGGCGGACGCGTTCCTTCATCGCTTCCGGCCCAGCCATGTGCGGTTCCAGGGCCGGCGTTGTGTGGATACCCAGTTCCGCCACGTCCAGGTCCAGCTCTGGGTCATAGTCTTCCATCTGGGCGGAAGCAGTGATCATGCCTGCGGGACCATCCCGGGCGCCACCACGAAAGGAGGTGGTGCTGTCGTAGGGGACAGGGATGAGGATGATGCGAGCGGTTTCCAGGAAGGATTGTTCGGGGGTCAGGGCGAGGAAATTCGGGTGAACCCAGTGCAGTTCAGAGGCGGCAGCTCCGGAGGCCGCCGGGGCGGAGCGATCGTGCTCGCTCCGAGCAGGGGACGGAGGTTCAGGCACGAGAGATTCCGGGGCGTCCCATCTCAATCTCATTCTCGAGGGCGGACCGCTGCGCCTGCGACTCCCTCAGTCCCTGGCGTTCGTCCAGCCACTCGAGGCCGCGGTCAAGCAGCCACGTTTGGATATCGTCAAGGTCGAAGAGCTTCTTGACGTCCTCCAGGGCACGGTCGTGGTCGAAGGGGCGGCAGGAGAAGATATCGATATTGACGTAGTTCTTCCTGGGAAAGGTGTGGATGCTGATGTGGCTTTCGGCGATGATCACGAAACCGGTAACGCCTGAATCCTCCGGCTTGGGTGCGTCGTATACCAACACGCGGGGTTCGGTGATACGAGTCATCTCCAGCGCGTCGGGGTAATCGGTCAAGAATTGACGAACCAGGGCATCGTCCCACATCTTGCTAGAATTTCCGCCGAATCCGTCAATTACCAGGTGCATCTCACCCCCGCGCACGGTCTCAAAAGAAGACAATATCAAGATAGGTATGGTTGGCAAAAGCAGTTACATACAATATCATTTGTCGGATTCGAATACAAACATTTCGGTTTTCGTGAGCCGAGCCTTCAACCCGGCCTCTCCATAGCGACAGGCGCAGGCAGGTTACCGTGCAAGCTCCAATGATCCAGGCAAACGATGTTACACATTACTATGGCCCTTACCCGGCCATACAGGACGTCAACTTCGACGTACGGAAGGGCGAGGTGCTGGGGTTTCTGGGTCCCAACGGCGCCGGAAAGACCACAACAATGCGTATACTGACAGGGTTCCTGCGCCGTCCAGAGGGTCGGTGACCCTGGACGGGTATGACGTGGTGGAGAAGTCGCTGGAGGTCCGCAGGCGGGTGGGCTACCTGCCCGAGACTGTGCCCCTATACACCGACATGACGGTTACCAACTATCTGAAATACATGGGAACTCTCCGTGGAATGCCGGGCGGGCGCATACGTTCGCGACTGGATGACGTCATCGGCGTGTGCCGCCTCGGGGACTATCGCAAGACGCAGATCGGCAAGCTCTCAAAGGGGTTCAGGCAGCGAGTGGGGATCGCCCAAGCCATCATCCACGAGCCGGAAGTGCTGGTACTGGACGAGCCGACCATTGGCATCGATCCGATCCAGGTGGTGGAGACTCGCAGCCTGATCCAGGAACTTGGACGGGAGCAGACGGTGGTGCTCAGCAGCCACATACTGCCTGAGGTGAGCATGATCTGCGAGCGGGTGCTCATCATCCACGAGGGCCGCATCGTAGCTGAGGATACCCCGCAAAACCTGGCGCAAGGGCTCCAGGGTGTGGAGCGTCTGGAGGTGGAGGTGGCCGGGCCGTCCGCCGAGGTGCTGCCTGCCCTGCAGAAAATCGACGGGGTGATCAGCGTGAACCATCGCAACGTGCAGGGCCGCCACACCTACATCATCCAGGCCCAGGCTGGCCGCGACCTGAGAGACGACATATCTCGTAACGTCATAAGCAACGGTTGGAGCCTGCGGGGGATGCAGATGGTCGGCATGAGCCTTGAGGAGATTTTTCTCCGCCTCACCACCCAGGAGGACCTCTAACGATGCGAACAGTCCGGGCAGTAGCCTGGAAAGAAATCCAGATCTTTTTCCTGAGTCCCACGGCTTACATAGTTTGGCCTGATATTCCTGGCCCTCGCTGGTTTCTTCTTTTCCCGCGACCTCGGCGACCCGTTCCCCCGAGGCGACCCTGACCCCCTTCTTCCAAGGGGCAGTGGTCATATTCATCCTCCTGGCGCCGGCCCTTACCATGCGCCTGATCGCGGAAGAGGCGAAGCTGGGAACCATCGAGCTTCTGTTGACCTCGCCGGTGCGGGACTGGGAGATAATTCTTGGCAAATACATCGCCAGCCTGGTGTTCTTCCTCGCGCTGCTGGCAATGTCCGGGTTCTACGTCATCCTGCTCTTCGTCTACGCCAGTCCAGATCCCGGCCCCATTTACGCCGGATACCTGGGGCTGGCGCTGTATGGAGCCTCCGCCCTGGCAGTCGGGCTGCTGGCATCCACTTTGACCAACAACCAGATAGTGGCCGCCGTGGTTGCCATGGGCATCCTGCTGGCCCTGTTCTTTGCCGATCTGGCCTTTGGAGCGGTGGGCGGCGCGATTCCCGGCGAAATAATCGGAGAAATGGGTATGAAGAGCCACTTCGACGACTTCGACCGGGGCGTTATCGACACCAAGCACATCGTGTACTACGTCAGCGTCATCGCCTTCTTCCTTTTCCTCTCGGTGCGAGCGCTGGAATCCAGGCGGTGGCGCTAGCATGGCGGAAAACCAGACAACAGGCCGGGGCGACGAGGGACCACGCGACTGGCGCAGGCGCCGCGGGCGGCGGCAAGAGGCGCCGCAGACAGCGTCCGGGGAGCCGCAGCCTGATGCCATCGACGACGTAAGCGCGGATCTCGAGGAAGCCGGGGAGCAGACCTCCCGTCCCCTCATCAGCGTGCTGGAGCCAGCGGCTAACGCCATCG